TCACATTTTTGATATGTGGTTGGTTGAATTCACTGATATGGAACCAACTAGATATAAGGGACTAGTACAAAAAGGCAAGAAGGAAGGTTTACATCATACTTTTAGTTACTGGGTGTAATGCGTTCTGTTTTCTAATTCAATTTTCTACTCCAATCTAGAAGCTTTTTCTATTCAAATTCTAATCAGGGGGTTGCAGATGTAAGTCAGTGGTAAAGCACTTTCCTATCATGGGCAAGGCCTTGCACTCTATCCCCAGCATCACAGAAAACATTCGGATACTGTCTCATTAAATTCTGATTTCATGCCTACTTAAATGATTTGTAGTTTGAAAAACATTTATGGTTTATTTCTAGGTCTTTCACAACTATGAATAAAATTGTGACTTTCGTGTGTGTGTGTGTGTGTGTGTGTGTGTGTGTGGTGCTGGGGAATCAAACCTAGAGCCTTGTGTATGCTAGGCACCAACCTATATCCCAACTAAAATTGTGACTTTTGATTACTTTTCAGATTTTGTCCTTAAGAGGGGTGGCAAGGGAAATGATTAGGTCAAAGGCCATGTACCTCTTTAAGGCTCTTGAGCCAAATCACTACAATACATTCTAGAAAGGTGCTGCTACTTTCTTACTAATAGTCTATCAGTGTTGTCAGCCTGATTTTTAAAATCTTCCACTTTTGCAAAAGCTTGGTTATATACAGGAAAACAATTTCTGGGTTGTATACTTCAAAGTTTAATGGGAGAGAGAGAATAAGGTAAATTGGTACCATAATATCACCTTACTTCTTTCCTTGTCTTGGACTCTGTATCAGAAGTTTATAAGATTGTGTTTGTATCACAGTGCCTTCCTGTATGTTTTTTTCAGATTCAGGAATTCTGGGGCTTCAGCCCATAGATTTTGTTCCAAATGCTCCCCGACAAGCAATTGAGAGGAGACAAGAGGAGATTCCTGTGGTCATTGCAGCATCTGAAGACAGGCTCGGGGGAGCCATTGCAGCTATGAACAGTATTCAGCACAATACTCGCTCCAGTGTGATTTTCTACATTGTTACCCTCAATGATACAGCAGACCATCTCCGGTGAGCTCTGCTTACCTAATGATTCTGCCTCTAGTGGTGCTCTAGAGTAGACCAGCTGCCAATCCAGGACTGTTTTAATATATAAACATGTATATACACACATGTATGTATACATATGTGTGTGTATATTTATACAGTTTGGATTATACACATATAAACTATGGTACATTTTTCCATGTGATTGTATCAAAAGCATCATGTCCCTGATAGCAGAAATGATATAGAGCTATGCCAGGAAGTAAATGAACCATGCACACTGTTAGCTCCAGTTACTATTTTTTTTTTGGTAATACAGCTTTCTCAAAGAAAGAAGCAGTGTTATTTACTGCTTCTTAATCATAAATTCCGTATCTCATAGATATGCTCTGAGTATTTTTAGAGTGGGAAGACACTTGGGAACAATGGCAGGATGGTAGGATGAAGGTGTGAGCAGACTCTGACCTAAATCTTAGTCCAGGGTGGCTATTTTCTCATCTGTAATTTTGGAATGAAAACATCAAACTCAGCATATGGTATGTCAAGCACCTAGCACATAGTAATTGCTCAGTAAATGGTCATTAACTATTTTAATTGCTGTGATTAAAAGAAACACGATTTGATGGAGTCTCATCCATGAAAATAAATGAAGACTTGTCAAGTTTATTCCAAGAAACAGCTTAACAGATTAACGTTTGTCAAAGTTCTAAGACATTTCTGTCCTTGTGGCTTTCTTCATGGTTCATATTTAATGAAAAGTTATGATTTTCTCATATTTGAAAAACTCAGAATCCAACTAAGATATAGAATACTGCATTAAAATAGACTACAGAAATAACAGTGTCTTCAGAATGTTGATTAGGAGTGGACTAGAAAACAATGTGCATTACTTCTTCAGGAAACACTGGCTTTTCTTAAATTACTTGACTTGGGTAGATATATTACTTAGGATCATGACAGTGAATTAATAGTCATTCTATAGGTAAAGACTACTAGCTTTCTATATAATTAGCTTTCACTCCATTACACTTTGGCTTATTTTCTTCAGTGTGTTTGGAAGTTTAAGAATTAAATGGTTCATGTGGTGATAGGATTTTCTCAATTCTATCATTTTTCTATAGTAGTTTTTGTTGCAAGAGAATTTCCATGTCTTGGTTCAGGGAGGGATTTTAGTGGGAATAGACCTTATTTCAGATGATGAAACCAAGTATTAAAGGAGCTTGAAAACACCCATTTAGTCCTTAGGATCTCTCTCAATAATATTATGTTCTCGGGCTACGGTTGTGGCTCAGTGGTAGAGAGCTCGCCTAGCATGAATGAGACACTGGGTTCGATCCTCAGCACCACATAAAAACAAAATGTGTCTACCTAAAGATACATAAATATTTTAAAAAACATTATGTTCTCATCAGGAAAGCAAAGGTAAGGCTATTGTTTGGAAACATCAATATTTAACTTAAATGGTTTCTTGTTTATTTTAAATCAGGTCCTGGCTGAAAAGTGGTTCCCTGAAAAACATCAGGTACAAAATTGTGAATTTTGACACTAAACTTTTGGAAGGGAAAGTAAAGGAGGATCCTGACCAGGGGGAGTCCATGAAACCAGTGAGTTCCATGCATCCTTGTTTATACTTGGGAGGATCAGGAAATCATTAGAATTCCTGGATAACTATGGGTTCAGTGCAAGTTTTGCCCAGGGGACCAAATTTGGACAGTTCTAAGAGTCCTTTGGCTATCTTCTGCCAGGGTTCTAAGAACCTTTTATAATAAAAGCAGAAGCCAGGTGTGATGGCAGGTACCTGTAATCCCAGCGATTTGGGAGGCCAAGGCAGCCCTGTCTCAAAAGGGCTGAGGATGTAGCTCAGTGGTAGAATGCCCCTGGTTTCCATCTATAGTACTCCCCCCCAAAAAAAAGAAGCAAAGCATAGGCACTACCCTATGCCAACACTTCTTTCCTTTTTCAGCTAACCTTTGCAAGGTTCTACTTGCCAATTTTCATTCCCAGTGCAAAGAAGGCCATTTACATGGATGATGATGTAATTGTGCAAGGTACCAAATAATGTTACCATGAGAGCTTTTCTCCAGATCGTGGGCTGTAGTGTTTGCCTTATTTATGGTCTTTTGGGGCTAGGGCTGGGACTCAGTAGTAAAGCACTTGCCTAGAATGTGTGAGGTACTGGGTTTGATACTCAGCACTACATCAATAAAGGTATTGTGTCCATCTACAATTAAACAATGTATATTACTATTATTATTTTTAATAAAAGGTCACCATAGGGGGAAGTGGAACAGGGAATCCCAAGGCAACCAGAAATGTTAATCTTAACACCATATCCATTTCAGGTGATATTCTTGCCCTGTACAATACACCACTGAAACCAGGACATGCAGCTGCATTCTCAGAAGATTGTGATTCAACCTCTACTAAAGTTGTCATCCGTGGAGCAGGGAACCAAGTAAATCCCCCGCCCCCCCCCCCAAAGGTTTAAAAAGGAAGGAGCTCATCCTTTTCCATTGTTTACATTCCCCAATTATTTCAACCCCAACTCAAGCGTTCTTTTCTAGATTTATAGACCTGACAACACAATTCTCTTTGAATATCTGGTGAAATATCAGTATCTAGATCCCATTGCCTTAGAACCTCAACCTCACTTTTATTGGCTAATTATCTTAGAAGTCTTAGTTTAACAAGCTGTTTTCTTAACTGGCTATAAAATTATTTTTATATTTTTATATTTCTTAACTGGCTATAAATTACTTTTTCTGTTTGAAGCAGCAAGAGTATGTATTCCATTTGTTTTTAGTACAATTACATTGGCTATCTTGACTATAAAAAGGAAAGAATCCGTAAACTTTCCATGAAAGCCAGTACCTGCTCATTTAATCCCGGAGTTTTCGTTGCAAACCTGACAGAATGGAAACGACAGAATATAACCAACCAGTTGGAAAAATGGATGAAACTCAATGTTGAGTAAGTATATAACTGACCTAGTCAAAAACTTATTTCAACCCTGAGAATTTTGAGTAACAGAAGTTGGTCAGTATTTCACTGATATTTGTTATTTTTCCCACCAAGAGAGGGATTGTACAGCAGAACACTGGCTGGCAGCATCACAACACCACCTTTGCTTATTGTATTCTACCAGCAGCATTCCACCATTGATCCTATGTGGAATGTCCGTCATCTTGGTAAGTAATTAATTAACCAACTCCTAAGCTAATAAAGGATTAAGTGTCCAAGGAAGGAACCACCTTTAAGAATTGGACTTAACACTGTTTCAAGTTGTTTGGCATGGCATTGCCTTGTGTTTGACAGGTATAATCATTTGGCTTTCTCTTAATATTAAGGTTCCAGTGCTGGAAAACGGTATTCACCTCAGTTTGTAAAGGCTGCCAAGTTACTCCATTGGAATGGACACTTTAAACCATGGGGAAGAACTGCTTCATATACTGATGTTTGGGAAAAATGGTATATTCCAGATCCAACAGGCAAATTCAGCCTAATCCGAAGACATATGGAGATCGCAAACATAAAGTAAACTAGAATTTAAAACTATAAGCATTTCTCAGGAAATCCTTGAAAGTAACAGTGTGGGAAGTAACAGTTGGTAGGCCTCAATTCCTATTTGTTGCAACCCATGGAAAAAGATATGTTTCAGCTGAGTAAAGATGACAAATTGCCCTGTCTGGCAGTCAGCTTCCCAGATAGACTAAAAATATGTCTCCATCTGTCTTACCAACTGTTTGCTTACTACAGTGCTGACTGGCCAGAAGAAAGAACTGATAAGACTGATATAACCAGTTCAGCTAGCTGGTATGGCTAGCTCAAAACTGCTGCTTGGTTTTAATTTTGTAAACCTGTGGCCCAATCTGTAAATAAACCTACATTTTTCAGTAGACTTCTTTGCTTTCAGATAAATACTTCTATCCCTTCACTGTTTAAGAGAGGAGTTCAATGTAGATTTTTTTATATATTTTTAAAACTGTATTTGTATTAATGTATACATCATAACACATATTCACAAAATTTACACTTTGTCATGGCAAAACTGGCACATTATACACAGAACATTTTGATAGTTTGCTTAAGATGTTAAGGAAATCCTTATAAAAGGACAAGTTTCTGTTACACATAATCTGTGCTAAAATCATAAGCATCATCTTCTTGAGTCATTTTATCCAAGTTTAAAGAGCTTGCAGATTCACCTGAAAGAGAAAAATAAAGTGAGGTTTACAAAGCAATTCTATGCTTAAGCTGCTTTGTTAGAAGTCCTTAGCCTCAAGCTCACCTGCTGTAGATTCCTCAGGTGGTGGTGGCTCTCTTTTCTCTTCTATAGGAGGCATGTCTGAGATCTTTTCCTATGGGATAAAGAAATGATGCAGGTAATTTAGTAGTCTTTGAATGTACACTTGTTACAAACCAGAAAACTCACTTTGACTCATAGAGAGAATACACTTACATCAGCTTCTTCATAGTCAACAATCTCTTCCTCACTGACCATGTCTTCATTGTCCTTCCCCTCCTCCTGTTTTCTTTCTCTCTGTCTTGGTAATTCTTCAGGTATGTCCTTTTCCTCTATTATTCCATTTGTCAGACCCGAAGACTGGAAAAGTATGCTCTTGGCTAAACGAGGGCCCTTGATGGCTAGTAAAGGAAAAAAAAGACCATATAAACAGATATGACCTAATAAAGGTCTTTAAGCAGATGAAAATAAGCAGTGAAACAAGTCTCTCTCACCTTCTATGCTATGTGCATTGCTCTTTTCCAGTTCCTCAAGATTTAAGCCCCTTTTCATGCCCGCCACAATACTTTCATTAAAATGTGGAGGAGGAGTCCAGGAAGTTGGGGGATGACAATAGTAACTTAACGAGGCGCTGAAATTAAAAATAAGATCTATCAAAAAAACAGTTACTGCCAGGTGAATCCAGTGGCTTAGGAGGCTGAGGCAGGAAGACTCCAAGTTCAAAGTCAGCTTCAGCAACTTAGCAAAGCCCTAAACAACTTTGGCAAGACTCTGTCTCAAAAAAAAACAAAACCCAGAACAAAAGGGCTGGGGATGTGGCTAAGTGTTCTTGGGTTCAATTACTGGCACACCCACACAAACGTGTTGGGGATGGATGTGGCTGAGCAGTGGAGAGCTCCTGGGTTCGATCCCTAGTACCCAAACAAACAATGCCAATAGAATCCTTACCCTGTCCACTCAGACCACAGTAGTCTGGCAGCACGTTCAACATTTGGGCTTCCACCTTTTTGGTGCAGACCTCTCCTCTGAGCAAGTTTAGTAAACAATTCCAGAGAATTCTTATAGTCTGGGACAGTATAATGCAGTACAACCTTAAAGCAAAATAGGAAATTTCATTTGACTGAGTAAATGAAAAAAAAAATCTATTTAAAATGCTTATACTACAAAATGGTGATGAGGAGCTCAACAGAAAGGGAACGAGTTCTTTACCTGTCGAGCATCAGCCTGGGACAGGATGGCACTGGCAGCCTCCATTGGTTTTACTGTTTCAATACTTGCTGGACTCCGCAGAGCAAGTGCAGTTAAGGAGTTAAGTGGTGACACAATCAAACTTGGACTATCTATGATTGTGATCTGTTTGTCCAAGGGAACAATCTGCATGTTCCTGAAAGAAAAGAAATAGAATCACCAGGGGCACAGGTTATATCTGGAGGGCAACAGAGAACACGAAGCTCAGGGTTGGATTGAACAAACTCAACACAGTGAGTCAGATCCAATTTATCATCATTTGCTTCATGTTTACCTGAAAGCCTAACAGTATATTCATTTCTTTTTAGAGAAAAGAACTACATGTTGTAGTTCATATACCTACCTAAACACATAACTATTTCCTCTACCCTAAATACTGTCATTTTTTTCTACCTGGCAACCTGTCTCTCATTTCCCAAAGCCAGGTGCAAACATCACTTTCTCCGAGGCGGCTCTTTTCTCTCTCAAATTAGTTGCTTAATTTGTCTTTAAAACTATATTGCAGGCAGCCACCCCACTCCAATCAATTCTTCCCCAAGCACACCGCTGGTTCCACCCTCTTTTTTTTAACTGAAAGTTTTAAAGAACAGGAAATTACCATCCTCGGGATAATAAAATAAAATCATATTTACTCATCTATAAGAAAAATTCTTTGTTATAGAATACCATAATTTACCTTGTAAGACCCATGGAAACACCAACATTACATATCCGCTCTTTTTTTAAGCTGTTAATGATGCTGCTCTTCCCTACATTTGGGAAACCTATAAATAAATAATTCACAAATATAAAACACAGTATGGACTGATCATTATGAAATTTCCTCTGCACAATTTTATGTTTGCCTGATGTTTAGAGCAAGAGTTGGATCTCAGTGTCTTCGCAACACTAGGACCGATAATTAGCTCCTTCATTCCTTACAGAAGTAATAAGAGGGCAGGAAAATACTATTAATGCAAATAAAGAAGGAGTATGCCTGTATGTATGTATTCATTTGCAGTGCTAAGGATAGAACACAAGGCCTTGCACATGAAAAACAAGTGCTCTTACCACTGAGCTACATCCATATCTACCATGAGCCAACTTACTACAGTGAACTGAACTTAGGAGCAATTATGTAAGTTTTTCTCTAAATCTTTTGTGTGGAGGTAAATGGGGCAAGAGCTAATTTTTGAGCAAACTATTTCATAACCCTGTTCTAACTTAATATCAGCTAAGTAGATCTTGAAATTTGATTGAACTCAGGGGCACTAGACTACTGAGCCACACCCCCTGCCCTATTTTGTATTTTACTTAGAGACAGAGTTTCACTGAGTTGCTTAGCACCTTGCTAAATTCCTGAGACTGGCTTTGAACTCTCTCCTATCTTCCTGAGCTGCTGAGGATTACAGGCATATTGACCTGCTAAGTAGTTCTTGACTCAAGAAAAAAGGTAGAATGTGGTGAATTGAAACTCACCAATTACTCCAACGTGAATAGCTCTGCCATAAGTCTCCTGAAAACCTCCAAGAAGTTTCAAGAGGCATTCTTTGCCAAAGCACACTTTACGTTTGAGTGGAACAGCTTTCTTCTTCATCTTGACATGTTAAAATTAAAAACACATTAGTTTAATTATTCTGACAATAGATAAAACCCAAGAAATCTGGCATCACTAGACAATTGCCTTTCAGATATCTCTGGATGAAATCAGAGTTGGATCTTATTATCTTTCATTTTTTAAAATCAACATTTTGCATACTCATCATATTTCAACCATTGAAAATCTGAAAGAACCACACTTCTCACCACTAATAGTAAAGTGTACCTTGGTTATCTTCCCTTTGTCCTTCAGGTATGTTGAGGCTTTAAACACCACTGTTGGCAATTCTTTCTTCAAATAATTTAGCCAGCTCTCCAAATTGTCCCTTGGTATTAGATCTGATAGGAATTACAAATATGACATATACTTCAATTTAGTCATTCTGTTGAGGTGAATTTATTAAATGGGTAAACCATAGATTTCACTATTGTTTGCCTTTTTTCAAAAGGATTTAAATGGAAAATGAGGGAAGGGCAAGCTGCCCTCATCCTAATATCTACACTTCTGTATTTCAGTTTCTCCTGTATAGCTCAACCTTCCAGAACTGAAGTCAACCTCTGCATTATACCCTACAGTTATTTCCAGGATTTACCCTCAATTAATTAACAACAACCTGGGTTTCTAACCTTAACAGTGATTTTTTTTTATCCTATTCTTTATGTTTCAAAGAGTCTCTGTTCTGGTTTCTACTTTCTGGTTTCACCCTTCTACTGCTCAAACCTAGACAATCATTTCATTTAAATATCTGTCACATAAATTTCACTTGCTTTGAGCTAATACTCAACATTGTGCAGGTGGCAGGAATTTTGAACACTGTCATCACATTTTGAAGGGGAAAACCAGGGATTAAGGGGCGCTTAACCACTGGGCCACATCCCCAGCCCTTTTTTGTATTTTATTTAGAGACAGGGTCTCACTGAGTTGCTAAGTCTGGCTTTGAACTCATGATCCTCCTGCCATAGCCTCCCAAGTCACTGGGATTAAGGCATGCACCACTGCACCCAAATCTCAACAATTCTTTACATGAAAGTACCAAATAGCAAAAGAATAGGAAAAAACAGTCCTATCACTTGTAGAAACAACCTACTTCCCACCACCCAGCCTATCTTTGGCAACTAGAGTGCACGTGCTCTGGCTTTGTTGAGGTCAGAGTTGGATCTTATCAGTCTTCAGTGACAATCAAGACTGTTCAGATGTTTTCCTCATACCTCACTCGTGCAGGTTAAAAAAAAAAAAAGGATCAAAGACATCCCTTTTCCTCACCTGATTTATTTAATACAAGTACCAGCTTTTTATGTCCACTCTGGACAATAGCATCTTCTACCTGAGGACACCTACAACCAAGAGGATCTCTGGCATCCAACACTTCTAGCAAAACATCTGAGGCTTCAATCACCTGTCAAGGAATAAATAATCATAATGCACTCCTTGTTTTGGGAATATCCTTATCACGAGTCTACTGGGATTATCTACTTGGCAACAAGGTAAGCTTAGAGTTGGAGCTCATGTCTTCATTTTAGAATGGAGAACATTCATCATTTCTCATATAGCTTGCTCAGCAGCCTCTGAACAGCATGGGTTTTAAAGTGTAAATACCCCCATCTTCTGAATATGTCACCACCCACACTGAATTATGTAGTCTGATAGGCCCTTTTAGCCTTGGGAACAACTACACCTAGAATATACCACCCTGTTGATCTTGGAGTTACCTTTATAAGGCTGGTGCCAGGAGTCTAATTTTTTGAATCAATACCATTTTTTGACACTGACCTAGACTAAGGTACCTTTTTAAGTTCCTGACAATATAACTTCTTTGGGTGCTGTTTGCTCAACTTGGCTTTCTTAGTTTTGCATTGTTCCAATTCCTAGAGAATATAATAAGGATGAAAGGACACAAAATTAGATATATGGCAATTGTAACCTGTATTTTCCACGATTAGGATCAGTGTAGTTGACTTTTTTTTCAGTATTTATTTTTGATTGTACACAATACCTTTATTTTGTTTATTTATTTTTTATGTGGTACTGAGGATCAAACCCAGGGCCTCGCACATGCTAGGCGAGCGCTCTACCGCTGAGCCACAACCCGATTTTCAAAAATATTTATTTTTTAGTTGAAAGTGAACACAATACCTTTATTTTTTATATTCATGTGGTGCTGAGGATTGAACCTCACGCATGCTAGGCAAGCACTCCTCCTCTGAGGTACAACCCGAGCCCCAATTTTTTAAAATACTGAAAACTGTCTGAACTCAAGTTATCTTCCTCCCAAAAGGTCCACCAACCTGTATATATGCAACTCATTTCTTTTTTTTTTTTTTCCATTGTAGAGTGAACACAATACCTTTATTTTATTTTTTAATGTGGTGCTGAGGATAGAACCCAGTACCTCACACATGCTAGGCAAGTGCTCTACCACTGAGCTATGACCCCAGCCTGTCATTTCTTACTTTTTAAAAAGATGTAATCCTACCTCCACAGGTTCCACATCAGATGGCTCACCAACAGGATTAGTTTCAAGTTTTCTTTTCTTTTCTTGTTCCTTCTGCCTATCAAGTTTCTGCTGTTGTTTTAGTTCTTCCAGCTGTGTCCAAGAGAAATGAGAAATGAGTGAGACAGTGATGATTAATGTTGTTAACTTATTTTGGAACACTTCTTTATTTTGGAAGTGTTTTGGTTAACATAATTTACCTGCTGTTTCCTTAGCTCAGCTTCCCTAAGAAGAGCTTCCTTAAAAGGAGCACTATTTGGAATTCCTGGGTCTTTCCTAGGCTTTTTGTGACCCCGTTTTTTAGCCTCCCTTCTCAATTTCCGATGATGCTCCCGAACCTATTAAGAAAAAAAAAAATTCCATTTAATAAAAAAAAGTCTTTCTACTTGAACAGAATTTAAGTGAAAAACCTGCCTGGCTGCAGTTCAGTTTAAAAATGTCCTAAAGAAATGGTTTAATTGGAATCATATAAACAACAAATATATGTTTAAAACAGCAAGAAAATGTCACAAGGAGGTTGTTTGTAAGGATTATTATGTTTACAGATCTTATTACCAAATTATTGTACTTTCCATAGCTGTACTCCTTATACATAAGAGTTTGTATCTATAGAATATCTGAATTTCTAAATATTTAATCCAGTCTTCCTCACTGAAGATGGGGCAAAAATCAGATTTACAATACATTTAGTACACCTGTCCCAAGAAAAACACTTCTTACCTTTTTTTGGATTTTATACCGCTTATGACAAGTCATGCGTTTACTTGCTTTCTTCAACTCTACAAAAAACAACAAAAAATTTAAAATGAAATAGCCACAAATGATCAGTATATTTAGTTTTTGTTGAATAGACTATGCTGGCATGTCTTTTTTTCTGTTAAGACGTTAGTTATACCTACATTTAATAATTATGTGGGGAATCAATACAAGCGTACATGCCATTTTCAAATCACACTGAATGGATTCAATAGATAAAAAATGGAGCCATTCCCCGCACCTACTCTTCCGACATTAGAATGAGGTCACACACAGGAACGTGAGACCCCGAAAGACAGCCACTTCGGATCAAGCACCACCAATCACAGGCAGGAGGAACAGCGCGTTTGGAAGGCGGTTCTCCACTCTTAGCCGCAGAAGGGAAAACACTGGTCTGGTCTTCTCCACCCTTCGGGACAAGCCTTCCTTGTGGACAGTGGGTTCACGGTTAACAGGATCGACTGGGGCCTTGCAACCCTCATTCTACGAGGGAACGCGGGAACAGGGCCTCCATAGTCCACCCCCCCACCTCCCCAGAGACCAAGTCCTAAAAGAACGCCCTGGAGAGTTCTGCGATCACCAGAGGTAGGGGCCTCTTCACCCACTTCTGGAGACCCCACTCACTCGGCCGCTTCATAGTGTAGCCGGTCAAAACAGCAGCCGCCGCAGAGACACCAGAAAACGACGTAACTCCGCGAGTGCCACGTGCTAACTGAGGCCACGGCCGAAGTCACGCACTCACGCTACTGCCGTAAAGTGCGACGCCGTTCTTTCGCGTGCGCGCGCACGCAGTGTCGCGCAGAATTGGGTTCGCCTGGCGGCCGCGGGCTAGTTTTACGGCAGCGCTGGGAGGGGTGAGGGCAGTGAGGGCGGCGGGTGCCGGAGACGGCAGCGGCCGCGGCCGAAGGAGCAATAGCAGCAGCCGTGGCGGCCACGGGGCGGGGCGCGGCGGTCGGCGACCGCGGCCGGGGCTGCAGGCGGCGGAGCGGCTGGGTAAGGCCGGGCCTGGGACGGGCGGGGCCGTTTCCCCTCGGCCAGCCGCCGGGCCTTTGTGTGGGCCCGGGCGGGCGGGAGCCGCGGTGGAGGCCCCGCCCCGGCCGTAGAGACGCGCCGGTCGAGCCGGGCGCGGGCGGGGCGGGGCGGGGCGCGGCGCGGCGCGGCGC